AATAGATATCTTTACTTATTTATATCTACAGTTGATAATATTTTGATTATTGATGTCACTAACACAAGCAATAAAACCGAATAATTTTGTACAATTATGCAGCCCAACGTAGATTGAGCAATGATGTTTTAAAGCAATATTTGATGAAATATAAATGAGAAAATAATCAGTTACCACAAAATTCTCGGTATTTAGTAATTACAACCGCGAAGGTGCTTTTATTTTGCAGCGACGCGACGTTTTAGATAGCATACAAAGTCAACAGCCACAGGTCGTGGAAATCTTCAAAGAGAAACCCAAGAAAAACCATTAACCTGAACGTTAGCATGAAAAAGGCTGCGGTAAATTTGCCCTTTTGTTCTTAAACTGAGCTGCTAATTACTTGACCCAATTCAGATTATAAAATTAACTTGCAATTAAATTAACATAACATCCCCATAACCTAAATACTTTTTATGATATTATCAATTTATTACGTTAAATTGTTTTCTTCAAATTTGTCACAATAAATAGTAAAAGCTCTGTTGACCTACTATAAACTCCACTTGACTACTTTTATTCAAAAAAAATATTATATAAAAAGGAAATATATGTTTGACATAATAAGTTATAATATAAGTTATGATTTATGGCATGAAATAACTCAGTAATTAATATACGAAATATTATATATTACATTATAACATGTCATGAAAAACTAAACATCGAATAAATTACAGAAACAAAAACAAAGATGGAGGAGACTGCAATATTTACATTGTTGAAGTTTTTCTCATATCTGCTTTCACGAAAACTTTACTGTTGTAAATTCATTTATTTCCTTATGAATGATTTATAAAGATTTTTTCTTTCTTTATAAACAATGTTATCTTTTTATTAAATTAACTGTGAACAAAATTTTGCGCTTTAAACAGTCGGTCGTACAAAATTAATTAACTTCTCTATGATTAATGTTAATAACGATTGCAGCAACGTATCCTTGGTTTGAAAATAATATAGCTCGGTAAGAATTTCAAAAAAACATAAAGAACTGCCTTTGAGTATAATTAATATAATTTTTTAAACAAATGCGTCAATAAAACAATGATATTTGTATTATTCTAATTTTTTAATTTGTATTCACTATTTCAGATTGATTTTTGAATTTCGTATCATTTTTTACAAAAGAGGTAAAACGTGTTTCATTCATGAAAAAGCATTTAACCTAGATTCTGAAATGTTTTCGATATTTTTTAAAATAATGTTATTTACCTTCTGTTTGTGCTTAAATTGAACATATTAATTGCCCTTCGTAATACTATTTATTTTTATTTATTTGTTCAAAAGGACATTATTAAAGTATGGAGTTTCATAAAAATTGTTTTTTATGAAACTCATTTTATGAAACATTTTTCATTGTTTATAAGCCATATACGTACTTAACAACGAAATTTTTATAAGTTGTTATGATATTTAATAAAATTGTTAAATCGTGGATATCACTTATTATAGTAATTACAGACTCAATGATACGATATGAAAAATAATGATGTACATTACAGTAGCAACAAAACATAGAAAATTATATAAATTGGAGAATTTATATAAATTAAATCAATAAAGAGAAATTATACAAATTTTCTCTTTATTTTTCAGTTTTACGCATTTTGTACAACATATTCTTAATTATATAATTCTTGTTCTGGTGCAATTCTTGTTACATTGTTCATCTCATAAAATTATTTAATCATAATTGTATAAAATATTAATAACAAAACGTAGACCATATGTTAGTTGCAGCAATATGCTACCTACATAACTATTTGTACGATTATTCTGCTTCTCAAAGTGATGTAACAGCAAATCAGTATTTCTGTAATTATTTAGCTTTATTGTAGCATTATATCCAGCATCGCGAAGGATTCACAAACAAAGAAGTAACATTAAGTGACAGAAAAATTCCATATATGTATTTGGATATAGTTAATTACTACTTAAACGTTGTAACAAATACGACATGGTACGCTATCTATGGTACGCAAGTACTATTTTCCTACTTGCCTAAATTCCCGCAGTGCGGTGCCTTCGCAAAAATGAAAGGATAATGAGCGTATCTAGGCGAAACCATCCTACACGCGTTGCTATTATTTTTGCCAATTTTTTCGTAGGAAGCACTCGACCCGCAAACGGTGGACGTTAACGCATGCTGAAAAGGAACAGGCCATAAGTAGAAGAATTAAGTGCAACGACGTGCCGCCGCCACCCCTCCCCCACCGGATGCGGATATTACGTTTTACGCCGGAGTCACGTCGTGTCGGACCACGTCGAGCCTCTATTGTGACAGGCAAAGTGCAGCACTCCATGTTCAAGCATAGCTGCTATTGAAAATTCATGTCAACTGCGGGCCGTGTAAAAATTTCAACATCTCTCCGCTGGCGGAAAAGCCGCACGCGCTCGCTATCACGCAACGGAAACCCGGGAAATTCGCCGGGGATTCTTTGAATCGCGATACAAGCGCGACTAAAAATGGCCCGGTAGTATATCTTGCAATCACACTCGTGATAAACCATTATCAGGCGTGTGAATGAGATCGTTTTGGAAGAACAAGATATTGATATTTGATATTTCAACGAGACTCACAGAATACGTCAGTGACAGATTGCTATTCTTTTCTTTTCATGAAAATTATTATCTTGTAGATGAATTCAACTCATTATCTTTTATCGTTTTTTTTTTTTTTGGAAAAAAAGAACATTGCGCGTGCCATTTAAAATAAAAATAGCTCTAGACAGTTTTAATTGAAATATTTCTGAAATTAATATTAACAATACGTGATATCTCTTACAAGTGTTTCCACCAACTTATCAAAAATTGATGATATACTTTGTAAATTCCAGGAATTAATTTTTCATACGTGTATGAGTATTTACAAATCAATCAATGTACAAATAATTTAGATGTATAAAGATTCCAGAATTGTCGTATTAGTTTTTCATCAAGATATATCTCAAGCTATTTTATCCAATGAATTTTTAAATTCAAATATGAATGATTCGTTACGTCTTGATTACTATTCTACCGAAAATTACGTACAGACACCCAACACGTTACTATTCTTGAAAGTTTTTAAAATTTTATTGATCGATCCGAATCGAAATCAGAAATCAAAGCTTAGAAATCATTTCATGGCTGTCGGGGCCAGATGAATTGTTAGACATCCGCTTTTGCGTGGGTGTTAATACTAACGATGTGTCATGAACCCACGAGTTTGGCACACGAGTACATCAGCAATCAATGGACATACAATTCTCCCTTGGGCCTGACTCGCAGCCTCACGTTGTTGACGTTCAGGACAGCTTGATCAATGTGTATATCCGTAGACTACGTACATAATCTATTCCAAGGAACGAGACCGTTATGATATGCCAATTTAATATTTGAAATTTAACATTCATTCAGGAGCGAGAGAACCAGTCATATTAAAGAATAGTTCAGACGGAAGATGATTAGAATCTAATGCAGTTATAATAATTTTTCTGTGAATATAATCTTTTTCGTCGAAAATAGTCTTGGTACATGCCTTCCTGATAGATCTTTAAATTTAATTTCCTCGAAAACGAAGCTTTCTCTTTCGAAAAAAAGTACTCTACCTTTTGTCATTTCAACAATGCTTAATATATTTAAATTACAACATCAAAAACTACAAAGAAAAATATATTATTGTATTACTATATACATGTAACAAAAATATTTTAATATGTGTTAAACTGAACAATTTAATTACTCATATATCCTAAATAATACCTGCGCACTTAGTGCTACCGAATAGTGTGGTGTCTTCTATAAATACTAATTCTATAATACGAAAATATTTTGACAACAAGATAACGGAAAATAAGATATTTTTGGATATGTCGATGAAAGACAGATACAACTATTTTTTTGTCATTATTATCAGTGAGATATTTAATGAACTATGAGTAAGATATATAAATAAAAGCAAACTGGAATACCCGAAATTCATTCAAATTTATCCTTGTCAAGGATTTCTGATAATTTCAGAATTGAAATGTGTTTTTATACACGAAAAATGATTTTATACATATAAATAGACTACTTTCGCTGTCCTTTCGATTTGAAACGGATCCTTCCCACTGTCAGAGAATGCTCAGGAGGCGATCTATTGAAGGTCAAAAGATTTCTTCACTAACTTTCTTACAGATGTCAGATCTCGATTTCTCTGTTAACCTGAGCCTATGGGAAATTGAGAAAGACTCTCTCGTTCCCTTTTCCATTAGTCTATCGAAGATATGGGGACAGATAGTTGACATTGTTTGTCAACTCGGCGCTGAGCGCGTTTCGTTTAAATATTTTCGAGGAACTTCGCCAGAGATGTGACTTTTGACACATTGCACGCTATTCAAATGCGCACGGACATGGCCTTCAAGTAATCCAACCTTCCAGTTCTAAAGACGAGGTCTGTGGTTCTAATGAGCCAGCAAGGTCATTGCTCTTTCAAAAAATGACTCGAGTGCCATAAGACCGTGCCATAAATCAAGCTCGAAGTTATGACACAAGTGAAATGTTACACAAGTTACAAGAATTCAGAAAGTATTCATGCATCTACTTTCGAGCAACTTTGAACATCTTCCCATTAAATCATGCACCTAGTGGCCATTTTTTTTTTTTCAGTTCGATTCAGCTGGAATCAGTCCCATTTTCAATTCATTCCATTAAAAAGACTGAGTGCACACCGTGTGCAAAGTTTCGTTCGCAAATAACCAAAAAGACGAAAGAAGAGACAACGAAGTGACGTGGGAAATGGACACACGAGTGCCGAAAATCAAGAGCGAGTGCGCCCTCTTGTGGATACCGAAACGCCGCGAAATAGGTGGAACTACGTGCCGGCAGATCTACATCGAACTGAAATATCCGGGCAGGAAACGCGGACAGCAGGAGTAACTGATTTAGTCACCGGAAACGCGCGCTAGCCTGTCGCTACGGCAAGAAATGTCCTGCAGGCTGGTAACGAGGTTGATGCGTATTGCGGTTGACGAACAGTCGACGTCTCGCTGATGGTCTGTCCGGTTATTGCAATTGCATCGTTCGCGTCACGTCGCATTACCACGTCTCTCTGTCCTGGTTCAACGTTCTAAATGCAACACAAAATAACGCGAAATATAATAAAACCAGTCCCGAGTTTCAGTTACAGATTTCAGGCATTTCCAGATGGGAAAGTCATAAATTATTTATACATATACGTGTTGGTTGTAGTATAACTCGAATTAAATACTTCATCTTTTTACGTTGTAACGCGATCACGCTATAATACGTAATTATTAACATACGATGCATGTGATTTTCAATAAACGACTAAATAAAATGAAATAAAAGTAATCTCTCGGTTCAATGACAAAACGCGGAATATAATAAAAGCAATGTCGAATTTCAATTATAAATTCGTGAAAGTTATATTGTTTATACGTGTGTACGTGTTTTTATAGTATAATTCGAATTAAATACCTTATTTATTACGTTATAACGCGATTTGATTATATAATAAAATAAAAGTGATCTACTGTTATAAAAAATCTGTAGCAAAACTTCAGGCAAACTTCAAGTAGAACTTCATAAACCAGAGGTAGAACTTTGTCGAATATTTCTCAGAGCTACCTCTTGCACGAACGAATCGATTTTCGTTGGATTGTGTTCAATTTGTACTTCTAACCTCTGCGGTATTCTCTTTCTGTGGTAATCAAACTTCTGAACAGCTATCCACTTTAAAGGTTTGTCACAGTATCTTTGACGATGTATATTATTGGATATTAAATATGAAATCTGAGACTAATTTAAAATTGACACAAGATATATAATAGAATTTGCTCTGACAATATTCCGTTCCATTACATATTTTTATTATCATTTACTATAATTATTTCAGCACAGTTTATTGCTTTGACGATCTATTTATTTCTTCAGAAGTCAGATTATAAAAAATGAAATACATGGATGTTAAAAACATGGAGCTTGCATAGAGATTTGTTTCGCCCCCTAAATACTATAACATTTGCACACATACTTGCATTGCGTACTTTATACATTTTTACATCTGGATTTCGCACATTTTACATATTTGTACATCCGCGATCTAATTCTAAAGTCGGTAAAGAGCTGTTCGACTACCTATTTACGTGTGACAATCGGAACAAAAGCTTTAGCGGATATGTGCGGCAAGTGTAGAATTGTAGGTTTCATTCAAATCTGGGAACAAAAGGCTTAACAAAAGGATTTGTGAAGGTGTAGAATTCTAGGTTCCATATGAAGCGGTATAAAGTATCTCGCAATCAAATCCTATTTCATTGCAACTCCCACGGGCGGAATAAAGTATGCGTGTGTTGTGTAGAGTGCCATTGTAAGGTCTACAAACCATATTTACCCCATGAGGTAGTTTTGTTCATTACCGCTATACACTCTAGTACAATAAACATATTGTAAACGGTTCCGTGCATATACGTCCATGAATATGTAAAATTAGTATAATGTAAACTCCATGTTTGTTTACAAAGTAATAAACAGACTGCGGGTCTTTATGCAATTTTTATGGACACGATTAAAATCTAAGCAGATTGTGAATTCTGTCATTCTGAAATTCTACTATTAAATATTATGAAAAACTTTACATCAGATATTTCATATATTTCTACAATTTATATGCACCGTACAGACTTCTAAACGTAGAAATAAAGATTCGCAGTAACAAATAGTAATAAATATTGGCTTATGGGCTTAAAGTAGGCCGAGAAAGGCGTACAATTCACTTGTCACGATAGAAAAATCTCCAGCGTGCAAGATGAACTGATTATTCGGAAATTAAATCCTAATAATACGATACTGAATTTTAAAGTTGCGAACAATTTATATCTAAAATAAATCTTCTTTAACGTGATGTTTAAACAATTAGATATCTCGTAACATTTCAAACACATCCAACAACTGTTAAATTGAATAATAAATTTAATGTATGAAATTAAATATGTTGCAAAAATATAAAAATATAAAGATATGATTGAATTTTTTGATAAGAAACACACACATATATATATAGCAGTACAACAAATAAATAAATATAATATTACCTGATTCAATATATCTTGTATTTGTGAATGAATTTATTATTGCTCAATTTAATAGTTTCAAACAATTGGACGAAAAGCTAATAATCACATAACCAGTTCAATGACGAAGAAAACAAGCCTGGAATGGACCTTTCTCTCAATCTCACAAACACATAACGTGCGTGATAAGAGAATGTGCTCGTGCATTGTTCGGAAAATTGGATTTGAATCCCAATGATTCAGTTTTGCGTTGAATGACGATGATGGGTGAAAAGTGAGCAGTGCTCTTAATATGCATAATCGTGGTGCAACAAAGTATTAAATCAACGATGATTAAACAGTCATTCAGCGAGACGAAAAGACGGCCCGGAGTGGGAAATTCACAGGGGATCTGTTGTTTCGGGAAATGGTAACTAATAATAACGCGCGCGCGATCGCAGTTCAAACAAAATTGAAAGGAATTGGAAACCACAAGTGTGACGGTGATTTCGCGCCGTATAATAGATGAAATTAAAGCCGAATGCGATGCCTGGAAAATGAATGCCCTGTATGAATCACCTCGCTGACTTTGCTAATGACATCTTTCACGCGCTTCGAGCATGCGTCGTGATTTCGCGAAATTTCTGAATGAAATGAAAACTGGAAAAGTTCCTACATTTTAAAGAGCATATAATTCGCAAAAAATAAGAAAACTAGATTGTTCGTCTATTTAAAGAGTTATTAACACTAAACGTACCGACATTTTACATATACCTATCTTACCATAAGGGGTCATTTAGTAAACGTTGATTTTTAGAAAGAAATTCTTAATTTATTAAAGGAAATAATTTCTGCAACATAACTTTTTTAGAAAGAAATTCTTAATTTATTAAAGGAAATAATTTGCAACATAACTTCTGATTTCTAATGAAATAATCAAACATATATTTTTTTTTTAAAGTAAATTTTGAAAAGGGGTCATTTGACCCCGCTTGGTACGTTTAGTGTTAATATTCTGTTAGAAATGTTTAATCCTTTATGATTCTACGTGACGCGTGGCGGGTTAACAATTTTATTCAGGTACGTAGTTTGCGTATTTGTAGTAGTCGGGTTTCAGAAAAGATTTTTCTTTTTGGCTAAAGGATTACCTTTTAAAGTTTCATGTGCATTATTTACTAATCTTCCTTCGTACACTTAACAGAACACAATAGGAAATGTGAGATGTGATTATCATTTTGCAAACTTTTACCAAAAGCAGCTTATAATTAGATGCCCTATTCTAAGATAAATGAGATTACCACGCCCCTACATTTCCCTTGAGGTACAACCCCAAATCATAGATCTATTGCTTCGGCTACCCACAATAATTTATGATCGTACAATGTTAAATAGATGGAGGCTTACAAGAAAGGTGTCATAAATTTATGTTGACATTGAAATTGGAAACTTGTTTTGCTACCAGTTTCTATGTATTTGAGTAAAAGCTAATATTTATATTTATATATTTTCATGCTTCAAATTATATTATATTTCAAATTAAAGAATATTTTTTAATAAATAAATAAATAAATCACAAGATATTTTTAAATAATTTGCCTTGTTAAATTTTAATAACTTCTATCGATATGTAGAATTTTTAAAAAATGTAAGTTTAAAAATTTGCTATCTTCTTAATATCTTCTTGAAAAATGTACGAAACCTGTTCTATTCTGGTTTTAAAAAAGAAAAAAGGACATAAAAGTTCCGATGTTTTTCGAAATTTTAAACAACAGCGATAGAAGAAACTTCTCTATTTTTTCTGGAAATCTTATTTAAAAATCTTTTCTGTAAAGTCATTTCTTTTACGCTAAAAAAATTTGTGTAAACATAATTTTTTAATAATACTTATTTCTATTTCAAAATGTTAAAAAATTACGAAAGAAAGTTCTTCTTATTTCAAATAGCAATCTCTGTTTCATTATTAAAATAGTCTTTGTTTTACATAATGACAAGCAGCGACAATTTTTATGTCGTGTTTTACAAAAAGCTCTTTAAAATGTGAATTGATGATGTCGCGTGAATCATGAATGTTTAATGACTTATCAATTTTTAGTTATATTGTCTTTTGTTTTGTTACTTAAAAATATATGAATCATTTGCTTTTGTCATTCAATTTCAGCATCGTATAAACGACGGATGACGAACAAAAACTTATCTTCTCTTTTATTTTCGTTTAATAGAATCACAGTAATTACTTATATAATTTTTTTCTTTCATGTTCAATCTACAAAACAAGCAAATTGATTTTCAACGTTTATGATTTATGACTGGCCAGATCATTTATCATATTTTCAATAAAAATAAAATAACTAGGACTGACAATGAGAGGTGTGATATAGTATTAAACGAACGTTCTTAAAATAAAGACAAAGGTGAAATGAGCTATTAAAAACTCAATACTATAATTAAAAGAAATTAAAATATCCCAGTAAATAGAAGAAAAGATTTAGCTCTGAATAATAATAATAATAAATAATTTATAAAAATAGAAAGGGAAACGTAGCTAGCTAACATCACGATAGCGAACGAATGTTACAAAAAACGAACAAGCAAAAATTACAAAATGCGCTTCACCGGCGATAAAAATAAAACGCCCATCGAAACAAAAGAACGTAAAAACGCAATAACTATTCCTGTCACAGATATTACAACAAGATGTTTATGCAATCACCTCAAAGCACTAAACGAATGCATCTATACATACAAAACAGCAGCAATAGTTGGAAAAATATTACATCAATAACAGAGAAACATGATTTGATAAGAATCTGTCATGATTCTCAAAACTATATAAATATTAAAAAAAAAGTAACAATAATATCTATCAATGAAATTTTAAAAAATCAATAATGCCAAAATATATATTATAATATTTATATAATAATATATATTATTATATATTATTATATAAAATATGGAAATATCTAATTTTATAGGGAAATGTTGTAAGAAACATTGTAAAGAAAACAGATTTGCAAGTGAAGTTTCAAGAAAACATTGAAGCAATTTCTTCCTTGTCTCTAAGATTTTAACTTTCATAAGTAGGATAGAATTGGCCAACTTGAACGTCCTATCAAGAATCTAAATTATTAATTGACAAGATTAACAATAACAATAAAAAAGTGGCTCATAAAAGAATTAAATTTAAAATTCATTATATATATATATATATTTTTTTTAATTTAATATATATATATATCCATAGGTTATTTATATAGAAAATTATTTATGTCCTAAAAGGACGTAGAATTTTAGATACTATATGAGTTGTACAAATCGCGTCTCGTTCACGAAACGTCGCTTTGTATGTGTAGAGTCTTGTTTAAGAAAGCTCTACAACTCGAGCTTCTTTATTTGCGTTACGCTTCTTCTACGTGTTCTTTCGTTCATAAGCACTTTGACTCGTCTCTTCAATTTAGCTAACATTTTATCCAGGAAAACGTCACCTTCTAAAACTTTTTACATGATACGTCATTTTTATTTCTCTTCGAAGAGTTTCAAACAGTTTCAGCTCCAATTAACGGCATAAGTTCATCAACAACTGCAGTAATTTTCAATTTTATGTTTTTCTTTGGTGATACATTAATAATACGAAATATATTCTTAAAGAATCCGTTATTTTTTGGTTTCTCACAAATCAAATAAACTTATAGCAGCGACATTCAGTTGTCATTAAGTTAAAATTCTTATAATTCTCTAATTCATTTATCAAACTGTTTGAAATGCAATTTATATTTGCGTCATAATATTCTTTCACAGTTTCTGAATTTAAACTGAAACTCTAAAAATTATGTAAAATGTAATTTCTCGAGGTATCAATAAAAAATCGTGATTTCTTCAATGTATGATGTTGGATCAAAAAAAGAATACTAGTATTGTACTACATACTACATACTACATACTACTAAAAGCGAACATAGTGACAAGCAAGTATAGTAACAAGAATAACCTTCCATGCTCTGAATGGATTTCTCATCCAGAGGATGGGAAGCCATTAGTAGCTCCCTTGAGTGGCAACTTGCCGAGCCTCTTCGGCTTATAGCCTCTTCCTTCTTCGGGCGCGATGCCCACTGAAACTTAAATCTAAGCTCGAGTTTTTTTAACAAATAAAAGATGTTTTTCTGAAATCGACTGACGAAGATCAGTGACCATTATGTCAAATCTAATAAAAATACATGTATATTTTAACTGTAATTAAAATATCAATAAATGTATATCAATCTCAATTTTTATCCATTCACGATTGCATTCTAAAAATATTATTGTATAATAATTACAAATACATTATTTGAAAAAATAACATTATTGGAATAGATGATATGAAATTTGGTACTATTATTATATATATATATATACTTGTCATTATTGCATCAGCTATTCAAATTAATGGTACCATAATTTACTGTATTTAACTGCGTATATTGCAATCGTATCGATAGCACTTATAAATTAATGTTCTAAAATTAGTTGAAATAGTAACAAGTGACATACACATACCAACGTAATGTAGAAAATACAAAAATACGTGTACAATATACTAACGGATCGTCAGTCGCTGCGAAATTATTAAATTTATAAACTATAGTCATTGTGTCCATTACCTTATTCTCATCCAAGTAGCACCTGGCATGTAAGTGAGATCTTGGCTACCCTGAAAATCCTGAGCTAGCAATATGATTAACATATCTATTTCGCATCTAACGGGCTAGTGTTCCTTGCATTTTCTCATTTTATTTCAATTTTTACTGATTTTACTTCATTGTAGACTAAGATTTTAGACTTAAGTAACAGAATTTAAAAAAAAAAATTACAATGTAATTGTGTAAGAGTGGGTTCTAATAATAACTGAAATATTGATAGAAATATTCTCAGGTGATCTCTTTATCAAAGCACATTTTTGAAAACACAAAGACAACATTTATTACTTTGATTCTGAAATCTTCCTGTCGCGAAACGTTTTCTTGCACTTTGATACATTCATAAATGATAAATGAAATTGAATTATTATACGTATATCAAATTGAACCATTTCATATGAAATTGAATTATTTCATATGTATATGAAAATAAATGTTATACCTCACAGTCTATTAAAATTATACTGAATATGGAAATCAAATAATAATCGCATTGTCATAAAACATCAGATAAAAAAAAAAAGTATTATTTATAATATCGTAACGTTACATCAGTATTATACTGAGATTAATTATTGATGTGCTATTATTAACATTCAAC